TAGGTGTCTTACATAAATTGACAGTTAGTCTTTAATGACAAGGAAGTCATATATTAAAAGAGAGACTTAAGCAAAACCAGATCTAGCAAGTTTTCAAATAATAATATGGTGTGGCTTTCAACTGTGAGTAGCCTAGACTTCACTAAGCTAAGACAGCTGTTATAAAGTTAGAATTTATAAGTTATAAATAAGTTAGTAATTGTGTGGTGAGCCACAACATACCTACATGAATTGTCACTGTGATGAATGAGATGTAAGAGTATATCTTTAAAGAACAGTTTTTCTACTGTTGCTCCTCTGGCAGTTGTGTCTGATGTGTTGTCCTGTGTTCCAGAGAAGTAATAAAACTTCAGCTGACCCGATTTCTATATGAGAGGAGATGGATGGTATGAAGAATTTTCAGTTAAATACAAATTCTATCTTCTTGTCAAAATGTCAATTCATATTAGATGCGTACTGAGCCTCTATCATTTTATTTGTAGGTCATACTAACACAAATTTGTATATACTGTTTATACCTCAGTCCTTGAGCATACATCATTCAGATTGATTCCTATAAGGAATGCTAGTGTGTCTAGAAGGCAGACGCAAGAGTAGCTTGGCAGAAACCTGGAAAGGTAGGCCTAACCCGGTATCACCTAGTGTTTTGAAGATTTACTCAGGTTATGGAATATTGTTTCACATTTGTATATAACTGGTTGCAGTTGCCATAAAGATATTTTAGAAGCAAATTCGTTTCCACTGACCAACTGGTCAATAATCACATCCTTACTCCTTCCCCACCCCACCTTTCTGTTTTCTAGTCCTGTTTAAGTTTCAGATTATATGTGATAGGTACCTACACCATCATGCATAGGCTCAAAGAGACCCAGCTGGCAGGAGGCTTCTGAGTAAGGGTCATGATGTGTCCCTGGCATGTGCTCTGCAATTGCAGTCTCACATTACTGTTTCTTTCTACAAGGCAAAAATCTAATTTAAACTTTATCAGTATGGGCAACTGTTATCTAATGCTTTCCCATTGACACCCACTTTTGCTCTTGTCTTTTTCTGTCACTTCTATTATGTATGTATTTTTATCCTTTCCACAAAAATACTTATTTTAATGTACTGGCAGCCCCATTACTTTTATGAAGTTGTAATTTCACGTAAGAACTAATTCTGATTTGGTAGTGGTGGTCAGTTACATATGTCATCTTCAACTTTTTGTAATGGCTTACAGAAATCTGAGGTTGAATACCCTCTAATTAAAACCCCATAAATTGAGATTATTTTGATTTCAGGATGAAAGATCATTCAACTAGAATGGAAGAGTATTTCTCCAGAAGGTTTTATTACACAGATGAAAATATCTAGGACATGTAGGATTACTGCAGAGTTACTGTTTATTTCAGTGGGTGAGGTGAGACAACAGAACTGGTATTATTGAAAAGAATGCAGAAGAATTTTTTATCTTAGAATCCCATTGGTTGATTCCTGATGCTTGAAGACAGTTTTATGTCATCGGCTAAAATCTAACCTGAATTGGTTCAGAGCTTAAAAAACTTCTAGAACGTGCTTAGTACCTGCAAAATGGAGAACACATTGCAGCAACCAAACTTTACATTGCTTTTCTCCAGCACTAAGAAATTTGGGATTTTTTTTTGATATATGTGCACTTACTAATTAGAGCTTATCATCTTCACTTAATCAGTTGATAGAATTCCAGACTTTTTAAAATAGAATCACGGAATGGCCTAGGTTGGAAGGGACCTTAGAGATCATTTAATCCAACCTCCCTGTCATGGGCAGGGACGCCACCTCTTGACTAGATCAGGCAGCACATGGGGACCGAACGGGAATCAAACCTGCAGCCTTGGCGTTGTCAGTGCCATGCTCAACCGACTGAGCTAACCGGCCCCCTACAATTCTTTTTTTTACTCTAACATTTAAATGCTGCTTATCATGCTATTATCATATTTACTTTATTAGGGAGAGATTTAGGAAGAATTTACTTGTGAGTAATTTACATTTCAACAATTTTCTCTGTAACCCCATAATTTTTTATTTATTCTCCTCTGACATTTATATTATTGCAGTGTTAATTACAGAATGTTGAATAACATTCAGAAAATCAGACTGAATGTTAAGAGTAATTAGAACAGGAGCAGCGTACAAAAAAGGGAACATCTTTATGTCGGTATGAATACTTGGTGAGCCCTCATCTTGAATACCATGTGAAAATCTGTTACCTGTCATGTCACTGAAGACTGAGAGGGTAAGAGGTTACAGAGATGGTCAAAAACCTGGAAGAGCTGAGTGAGTAGATAAGAATTTCTCATTCCCTAAAGGAGAGAACAAGGGAAGTGTGATAGAGGTCTGTGAAATCACAAGGAGAGGATAAGTAAAGACCAATCAGTTTTTGTCTACTAAAGTACAAGAATTCAGGATGCCAAACTTGGTGAGATAGCTTAAAAACAAAATGAGGTGCATGCAAACTGTAAAAGATCACATGCTCTAAAGGCAAACTGGGAAGGTAATTTTAGGAAGTTTGGTTGGTGGACATGCAAAGCAAAGTCAGCACCTTTTGATTATGAAGTGTGGGACCCTCAAAGGCTTGTAGGAAGAGAAGTACTGCTGCCCACTTGTTCTTCTGCTGGTCTCACTGTTCTCTAGGCCAGCATTGTTGGTTGCCTTTGAAGACAAAATATTGGTTGACATAGACATAAAGTGTGAACCCATGTCTATTCTTCTGTTTCACATATCAATTTCAAATGTTTGTTGGGTTTTTTATGTAGCTGAATTCAGGAGCAGAGCAGGGTTTCACTTCAGTGTTTGGTGACAATTTTAAGGCTGCAGTATTTCTTCATGGGCTTCTCCAGGCAGATTTACTATTATTAAGGTTTTGGTATTCTCGTAAAGAAACTTCCATATACAGGGTTTAAATTGCAGTCTGCTGTTTCAGTAATTACTTTGGTAAATATTTTGCCTCTGTCTTTTTACAGCAGACTTTTAAGTGCACAAGATAGAAATTCCTTTTTTCCAAGGTAGGAAGAAATCATCCTCTTGGCCTGCAGTTACACTTCAGCAGCTTCGATGCCATGCTTCCACATCACACAGTCTAGGGAGGAGTATTTTCTGTATTTATTGTGATTAAAAGGCAGGAATATAATAAAGACTTAAGAGGACTATTTTTATAAATTACAAGTTGTCTAAAATCTTCTACAGAAACCTTATACAAAGGTTTCAATTCATGCACATTTATTCCAGTAATAAAAATGTATTTTTAAACTTCTGGATTTCACTTGTGGTCTTCCTAGTATCCATACTTCATTTTATGCAAGTGTTATTTACAGGGTTAAAAGACATAAATAGCTAGCTTCTTGGGTTTGTTCTTTTAATTTCTTTTTTTTTTCTACGGGATGTGGACTCCAGGAATAGTTTTCAGTTATCGTCATGTAAGGCCTGAGATGGCTTAAGTTTAAAAAGTTACATTTGCAGCTGCAGTAAGCCCACTTACAAACTTAACCAATTCCTTGTTATTTCTTTAGAGTATGCTAGCTGAAACTTGTTACTATTAGTATATGTCAGTAAGATGACTCTGACTAGATGTAAACAGGAAAGGGTAAAAGAGGTAGAGAACAATCACGTTCCTCTTTTAGGAATGTTTTTTGAACACTGACCACTAATCTTGTATTGTTTTCTAATGTGTACTATTTTTTTGTTACAAACATTTGTTAGTATTCTGTTTATTTTATTTTATTGATGTTTTCCCTATTAACTGTTACCAGTATTCATTGTGGAGTTCCTTATTCAGTGGTGTTTTAACCTAGGATTTAAAATTTGGTTCTGCTAAAGTCATTAAGCAGAGTTTTGAAGTGGAGCTCCGATTGCTGCCATCTCAATTCTATCCTTTGAGAGGCCTTGAATTATTACCAGGTTGTGAACTTTCATAAAAATCAGGTCACAACACAATGAGCAGGAAAAACGGAAAAAGTTTGGTAGTGCAATGATCTGCTAATAGTCTAAATAATTTACCTAAAAAAAAGGGACTGTTATCTACAGCCATAGATTCCTTTAGGAAATATGAGCTCTTCTTATTGAAGAAATTGTTATTCCACATCCTGTTCTAGCCATTACATTCTTCAATCATTTTCTGAGTAGTGCTATGATAATACCTGTCAGGATGCTTTCTGGCTTTTTGAATTTTATTATATCATATTTGATTTATGTGCAGTGCTTGACTTTCCCAGGCATCCATATGTCCAGTGTAAGAAAGATGTGGAAATATGTTTCTGCTCATACATTGATGTTCTACTGGGATTAAGAAAAATAAATTACAAATCAAGCAACTGATGGAATTGTATGGTATCTTCTTATGTTCTAAAGCAGAGACAGTCTGCTTGGTTGGAGAGTTTGGTGTACTAGCAAAACTTCTAATACCTTTTTCTCCTCCCCTCAACATTTGTTAATGATGAGAATTCACTACATGTATCATTGTTAAAGGACCTTGTGCCATTTTTGCTGTTCATTCACAACCTGTGATTCTGCCATCAAAATGTAGATGTCATATATTTAGGCTTCTTATGTGTAATGTAAACATATTGTAAAACCATACCCAAAGAGAAAGTAATTGCAGTGATTGATGTAATTGTCACTTTCATGACATATAATTAAAAAAAAAAATGAATAGGAGACATCCCCTGAATTCGAACATAGCAAAGCAGGTATGGCAAAACAAGTTGTGCTGGAACTTTTGCTAAATACAAGTTTTCACTAATAAAGACATTTCTGTAACTAAACAAGATCTAAATTACACAAAAAAAAAAGAAAGAAGTAAAAAGAAATGTTCTTTTCTAGTATGCAAGTAATTCTATCCAGTCTGCTACAATTTAAATTTCAGCAGAACGTGGTATTTAATTTGCTGAATTTTAAGTATGTCTAGCAAGAGTTATTGAGCCTGGTTCTTTTCTTGAGTTGTCTGAGATATATTTCTCTTACATACTTAAATTTTTGCATTTCAGGAATCTTATTCAAAGAAGAGAGGCTATGCACTGGAAGCAATACCCTCTGTTCCTGTGGATGCAGTTCCTTCAGAAAATGATGGCAGTCTTTGTGATTCGGTAGATGTAGCAGTGACCAAAAAACCTTGCTCCCTAGAGATAGCGAGAGTTCCTTCCTCAAGACCAGGTAACTCACCAAATAACTCTTTACTTAACCTTTGGTGTAAGTGTGATGTTGTAGAAGGTATACAGTTATATATAGAAGGTATAGGTTTAATTTTTTCAGAACAGAATACTCTATTTACTTGTCCCAGCATGATCACAGTCTTCCATTAATTGCTGTAAGAGCTCAATATCAGAAGAGAGAGAGCAAAATGCTGTAGAAGGCAAACAAAGCAGAGATTTAAATAAATATAAAATCGCAAAAAGCCAAATTAGAAACTGAATTTCTTTAAGCCCAACCTTTTGCAGTAATCTGTTTACCAAACTTGTTTCTGTTTTTTAATGAAGTGCTTAGCAACATTATACAATTAATTCAAAAGTACTCTTTATTTTCATGTTACATAAAGGAAAATCTGCTCCATTTTTGCAGATGAAGCAATGAATGAGAATTGATAGAAATACTAAATGGCAGTTTGGCAGACTGCTGTTTGTATTATAGAGGTTTGAACAGCAATCGGTTACAATAGTTGAAAAACAAGAGAATTCTGTTGGGTCAGATGAACTGCAAGGACTCAGTTTATGTTCTCCAACATTATCTGCTCTTTCCATTAGTCTTGTATGATTTTTTTGATAGTCACCCACTGGTACAGGAGTTTCAGAGTATGATCATTTTGCTGTAAGAAATTGAACTAAGAATCTACATTGGCGAATGACAGTTCCTGCAGCACAGACCTATTTGAAATGAGCAATTGACTTTTTGACCTGTAGTATCTTGACTATGAATAGTGATTTGGGAAATACACAAGAATGACAGATGGTTGTTGACTAACATTGTGTTACCTAGCTAGTCGTGTGTAAGGGGAAGCACCTGTCTGATTTCACAGCTCAAGTAGTACTGGAAAGGTGACAGAGCTAGGTCAGATATTGTGTATATAAGGGCCAGACACCAAGATACAACTCAGGAGTCTGCAAGGTGGGGCGAAGTCGTTCATAATTCCCACTTCTTCGTAAACTTTGGGCAAAAGACTTGAGGGAGCCTGCATTATGAAGTCATCTATGAGGTGGCACAAAATAGGGTAGCATCTTTATAACACAGTCACACAGACTGGACCAGAATTTGACTCAAACATCAGCGCGACTGCTTGTGTGACTGCAGGTTTACTTTGTTGATGTTTTTTTTTACTCTGATAATCTAAAAAATTATCAGACTGTGCAGGACAATATTACGGGTTGTTGTTCACTTAAGGAAGAAAATGCTAAATTGTCCTTGTTTTTCAGACTTCTACTTGATTAATCAACATAAATATACTTATTGCAATGGGAAAACTGCCATAACCCTGCTGCATAAATATGCTGAGAGAGTTCATTATCTGCCTCCATAGTAATGGGGCTGAACTACAAAGCTTTCCGTTGTAATTAATATTAAAAAAACCCAACCACTAGACTTTTCAGTAGTTGAAATACCAGGCTTTGGAAGTGTGCTGTCTGCTGAACATAGGCATTTTTCTTAGGCATAGTAAGTCCATTAAGATCAGGATGAAAAAGAGATCCTTAAAAGGACATATTTATCTCTTAATCTGGAAATATGTTATGTGTGTGGTTAAATAGTGTGTGTAAGAGACTCACAAAATAACCAAGGAAACTGCAGGACATTCATGAAGGCACCCATAATTTTTCTAACAAGGCCGATGAGTTGACAATAGAAATCTACTGTAACTCCTTCTGTTCTAGTTTTTCATATACTGCTATGATCTTTTCCTTGGCATTTTATTGGGAAGAACATTTGGCTGTATAGATAGCAGACTCAAAAATGTCATTTTATTTTAAACTATAAACATAGTAGTTATCTAATTGGTCTGGCTTGTAAGCCATATCTGTAACTATGTTGGCTGTTATCTTATATAACAAATAACACAAATGAAATCAACCATGTCACTCACAGTTAAAAGGCACCTACTGTTACACATAATTGTATGTGAATACCAGCTCTATCACTTCGATTCCTACAGATTTATTGCTTGAATAAGTTATGTATGATCACAGAGATCATTCATTTAAAACGAGTATCTAATATGAACGCTTTTTCCCCCTGAATATCCCTGTTTTCCTATCTTTGAAACATGTTGACTTTGGGAATACTGTTTTAAATTGCTGTCATATGTAGAGTTCATTTCAGAGCACAAGGCAGCGCTTTGAACATAAAATTGCATCTGTCAGTCTCCTTTCCCTAGGTGGCAGGACACTGATCAACTCTCCCCACTGTCTGGGGCATTACTGCCTCTTGGCAGTAGAACTGAGCCTGACTGCGCTCAGTGACTGAAAATTCTTTCCTGCATTGAGAGGAAAGGTTATTCTGGCTGGCCTTTCAAGCTGCAGAGCTGCGTGTTATAACTATTATCTGCCCTGCTGGTAAACTCCTAACAGATTGGGGATAGTCACCTTGCCAGCGGTCGTTCTCTGATCTATTGTGGGGAAAACCAGACTGCTCTGTAGTACTCCATATTATTTTTAATTTCCCGAATCTTATTTTTGAATGGTTAGGCAATAGCAGAGGATGAGAACAACATGCACCAAATGGTAAAGGGTTGTTAGATATGAGAGAGAAAAACTGAACAGAAAGGAGACGAGTAGTTATGGAGTTTGTTAATTCCACTTCTGAAATCCTGTTGTGTGAGTTCTATGTCTGTTTGCAAGAAATTAGGTTTACAGAGGAAGAACAGTTACATTATTGATTTATGCTAGCAGTTAAAACAATTGCTCCTGATTAGGACTGATCTAAGAGTAAAGAAAAAGACTGTATGTGTGTCTGAGTTCAACTGGAGCTGTTCCTTGTTTCTGTAAACGAATGATAGGACAAAGTTGGTCGAGTATATTAGCATCACTGACTCAGTATCTCTGCTTTTAAACTAACAGCTAAGACTTAGAATCACAGAATTTTGAAATGGGGTGGAAGGGACCTTTAAAGGCCATCTAGTCCAACCGCCCTGCAATGAGCAGAGACATCTTTTAATGCTGCTCAGACCCTCATCCAACCTGACCTTGAATGTCTCCAGAGATTGGGGCATCAATCACTGTTCTGAGCAAACTGTTGCAGTGTTTCACCACCCTCACAATAAAAGCTTTCCTCCTTATATCCAGTCTAAATCTACCTTCTTTAGTGTAAAACCGTTATGCCTTTTTTCTATCACAACAAATCCTGCTAAAAAGATTGTCCCTGTCAACTTGATAGGGATATTCTGAAATACTACACTCCGAGACATTTTTTTTCTGCTAAGTAAAATATAAATTTGGATTTAAAATTTCATAAATTAATCTCATGCAATTAATTTCATAAATTAATTGATTCATGACTCAATCTTACTATTCTTTCTGTTGATCTATTCCAGAACTGTATTCTCATTCCTTAAACTAGACATTTCTACTAGTCTTTTTAATTTTTGGACTGCCCTTCCATTATAGAAGAAATCACATGACATATTTAACCTTGAAAAATCACCATAAAATTTTATTAGTTCATGATACACATGTTAGTATTGCCCTTTTGATCTTAAGGATGTAATTAAATTTTGTGAATTATAGCAACAAAATCATCTCAGAAAAGGTGTAAACTTCTATTAAATGACTAAAGCTCAATGCACTGGATCATTGTAATGCTAAAGTAGGCATTACCAAGTATCTTCATGAAATTGGTGTGTTTCTGGTGAGTTATCTAGTGTCTAGAATACTGGTAGCAGAAGTTTAGGTGCAGCACCATGCTGCATTTGGGCCCGTGTTGTTGAAGACCCTCGTAGACTTAACTTGAGTCCTTGGTAGCTTGGACATTTTGTACCATACTCCATCCTTGTGCCTCATAATGTCATACACACTCTTTAACAGAAATATTAAATTAAACCTGAGCTACATTGCAGAAGAAATGTCAAAAAATAATTTTTTTTTCATTGGACTTAAGTGTGTGTCCATACCCCACAAAGACATCATATCTCTTTCAGTCTGCCTCTGTATTTTCTACTGCAGGAACTCCCTAGGATTGAGACCAGGTGGCAGTCTACAGGCTAATTTTTTAATAGTAGTAAATGGCAAGTGCTACTTAAAATATTTTGTGTGTCTTGTTGTGTATCATTAGGAGTTAGAGAGGACTTTTCTAACTGATTTTTGTGAACTTGATGAAAAAAATATTTTCCTTTGGAAAACTTGATCTGTCCATGTAGATTAATGAAGCTTTTAATACAGAATTTTGCTGACAGGCAGAGATATTACTCTCCCGTTCGGTCCCCATGCGTTGCCTGATCTAGTCGAGGTGGCATCCCTGGTGGCAGGGAGGCTGGATTAAAATGATCTCTAAGGTCCCTTCCAGCTTAGGCCATTGTATGATATGATTCCTTAAACTGCGTGAAAATCATCCTTGGATAAGGGAGTTCTAGTTCAAGGACCTCTGTTTTCTTGGTATGTTACTGTGGCTGCAGATCAAGGCTTAGTGAGCCATCTTAGCTCAGTCGGTTGGAGCGTGGTGCTGATAACACCAAGGTTGCAGGTTCGATTCCTGTTCAGTCCCATGTGTTGCCTGATCTAGTTGGGAGGCGTTCCTGCCCATGACAGGGAGGTTGAATTAAATGATCTCTAAGGTCCCTTCCAGCCTAGGCCATTCTATGATCTTCAACTGTGGAAACAGCTTAGCTGTAGTAATGCAGAACTCAGTGAGCTGCAAAATCCAGCTGCGAAAAAAGGTAAGTATTTTGTGGCTTCACTTATGCTGAGCTCTAAGCCACCACAAAGTCATCTATTTGCAAGTCAGCAATTTTAGATAGCCCTGGTACAACTACTCTACCTAGTTACATCTAAGATTTGATTTCTGTCAAGGGGATGAAAATATCCTTAGGTATGTGATGTGTTGCTGCTAGCCTGTAGCAAGGAAAGACAAGGCAAGGAGTTAAAACATAAAGGAAGGTGTATTATCAGCTGTTTTGGTCATCTACCCAGCTAAATGAACTTTGGAGAAATCTTGCTGTTGTCAGTCATGATGTTTTTGTTATTTAGAAAAATTACTTAATTTGCACATAAATG